AATTGTACATTTTTGGTATTAAATGACGTCTTCATATGCCACCTGGAATAACTTATAATAAAATACCGATTTAACGGGTATGGGCAGCAGACAGTGAATATAAAATATTTATAATGAGATCGCCTGTTTATAATAAGTGAAACTGAATTTCATTAGGCGGATGAGTTATTTTTACATTAAAAGTTGGGCGGAGTTTGAGAACCTGCATATTAAGAGTTCTAAAGAAGTGAACTTGAGTTTCAGAAATTCTTGAACAGTTGTAATTGTTAGGAACAACTTTGTTTCTTGCCATTAATTTTTTTTTTGCCTGCCATGCTTAGTTATTTTCTACTTTCTACTTTTTATTTATTTAATTTTTTTTTTTTTTTATTCCATAATTTAGGTTAGTCCATAATTTTAATGCTTTATAAGCGCTCAGTCGAATTTTCCATTTTTTATTAAGTTTGATTTTGATTTACAAGCGACTTTTATGGTTTCGACACCACCACTATACACTACCGAAAAAGATTAGATTAACGCTGGCCATTCAGAAAGTATATGGTGCACTCGTCGTCAGTTCTATAACTATTTAGAAAATACCCTATAATGAATGAAGCAGCGACAAATACGAGAGAAAATTTAAATACACATGTTAACATACATATCGCCACCTAAAACGCAAAACAACATATCTTCAAAAAGAAAGATTCAAAACCGTTGCCAGTCAATTGTTGCCACAATAACCAATATATAACCAATATATAACCAATTGTTGCCACAATAACCAATATATAACCAATAAATAACCAATATATAACCATTTTATAACCAAAACTCAAATTTTGTTTCAATATTAGCAAATTTTAATATATCGTTTTTCCTTCGCCTGAAAACTTATATAAATTGATGTTACGTTATTTTGCATTTTAGGTGACGACATGTTCTTACAAATACTAAAATACTTAAATTAGCGCTTCTATTTTAATAAATCAATCAAATTAAATGCCAAATTCTAGTGAACAATAAAGTTATTAGTTTGTGGTAATTATTGTATTCACAGAATTTGCCAGATTTCCATATCAATTTTTCAGTTATTAAACAAACGAGAGATGCATATTAAAGATAATTAACACTACTATCAACTATCGCCTGTACACCGTTGGTTCAAACAAAGGCGATGGCGATAAATATTTGTTTTATACTCATTGACAATGTGCTACTTTGGATCACCCACAATTGAGATCATTTGCCTTATACCATACATAGAAAGTTCAAAGAGTAGAACTCATATCAGAACTCAAATCGAGCCACTACTTGAAATACTTAGTTGTGTAAAATATGTGCGTAGGTATTTCATAAATTGAATATCTTCAAACTACAAATAGACGATTGTACTTCAGTCTTAAGTTATTTACGATGCCACTACTTGATCAGCGTTTAGCGATATGAGCCTGCGATATGCGTTTAACTTGCAATATTTTATAGTTCTAGTACGTGATCGGCCGTTATCAGCTGCGGTGGCGAGAGATAACTCCAGCTGAAAGAGCTCAAAGGCGTATGTGCCATAGTTGCATGGTACACAATATATATTTATGTATAAGAAGACTAGATTTTTCGATAGTTTTATAAACTTCCATTTAACTGTGCATTACAAAGCAGTTAACTACTTTTGTAGGCAAAAAGAATCTTTGAAACGTAAATTAATTATGGTTCTCCTTGAGATTATATCTCGATAAGTTAATTAGTTGTACTCAGCCACTGCAAGTGCTGCTACTTGAGTTCGAGAACTCGACTTCCTTTGGAGCACTTTCTAGCAAATTATTATAAAGTCAATTCAATTGCAATCGTTAATTAAAATATTATTGTTCATATCAAAGTTACTGAAATCAAAGTAATGTACTAAATAGCTTGTACTTTCGCAAATATGTATGATCAAATTTGATCCGGACTGATCCACGTTTTTTAAAAGATTAATATCCTTTTCTCGCTCGTATAAAGTTTGAAGAAACCTTTTTTTGGTTGTCAGCTTTATGTAGAATCCACCCTGCGAGGACGAGATCATCCTTTCTTTCGTACCGCTTTTTCCAAAGGGCTGAGTACTCAATCTCCATTCTGGGAGATAACGAGAAAGGAGAATCCAATTTTGAGGTAAGGAACCTTATTTCTAATCTCGAAAATTATAGAATTGGCACTAAGTAAACACCTAAAGCGTCGCACTCTCGATAGGTTAGACTAGGTTAGGTTAAGAGATCGATTCTAACAGGGACCCCACTTAAACAGCCTAGAATCTAAATCTCCTATATACTGGATTATGAGACACTTGCAAATCGACAAAGCGCTTTGAACCTATTACAAATTCGTTCAGACGGCTAATTACAGTTTCGGTTATCGCACCCTCGAAAGATGGGTAAAAATTTCAATCTATCGCACACTAATTGCTCGACAAAGTCTGGACGTTACATAACGCTGATAAACAAGCTAGACGTTTTTGAACGATAGATGTTGTGCAGAATTTTGGAGCTGTTTGAAATGCTGGCTTATAAAGAAAGCGCTATAATTACGAGCTACAAATTTGGTATGCCTAAGCATTCCATATTTTAACAATAATTAACTTAAACAGAGCGGTACAGAAGCAAAGGCAGACCATAAGCTAGATGGATTGATAGTGTGGACTAGGACGCTGAAGCGTTGAAACTACGATGCTGGCGAACTCAAGCAAACCACAGATATAATTGGAGAATTAAATTGCTAGAAGCGAAAGCCCGCTCCGAGTAGTGAAAGTGATGATGATGAGATGTAATGTAAAGTTTGATCTTCTTATGTGAAGTCATTAAAAATTTGCTCATGTGACTCCCCCATTTATCGCAATTAATGACGCTGCCTTCGAAATAGTTAAAGAAACAGTGCTTGAAAATCGTCGTGTTGGCATCAGAGAGATAGCGGAAGATTCAACAGAACTTATGGATCGACTTAACACATTTTGGTTAATGTTTTGGTTATGAAATGTGTCAGACTCGTATTAAAACACCTAAATCTTTTAAACGGATCGGACTCGGATTTTAAACCGAGACCTTTATTAAGAAATATTGTCTACCGTTATAACAACAACAAGTATATGAAAAATTGGCAGTTGACCGGACTTGTATATACATATATGTATTAATATATTTTTTTTTTTGTATCAATCCGGGTCAAATTTGATCCGATGGTATTACTCTAAACTCGTCCAGAATTCGAAAACTGTGGCAAATGTGTTTTTTTTTTCTTTCTTCGTCCGGGTCAAACTTGGTCAGATAGTATTACTCTAAATTCGTACAGAATTCGAGGCAACTATCATTCTGAAATTTTTAAACTATATGTTTTATAAACTAAAGAGGGTTTATAAGTTTTTTAAGATCTACAACGAAATGTCAGAGTTGACTAGCGAGCTAAGTGAATTTGGCCATGCTCGAAATTTCGCATGAATAGTTGAGCAAGGCAACGCTACAATCTATAAATATATAGATTGTGCTATGTTAAGTGATCGCTCGAAATCAAGTACTTGTATGAAAACTTTGAAGGCTGAAGGATATTATAGTTTCGGTGCTGCTTTTCTTTCTTGCTTCTTTTTTTTTTTTTTTTTTTTTTTTTTTTTT